GATTAACATACCTTGGCCTCCCAAAGTGCTGGGATTACAGGCGTGAGCCACCTGGCCCAGAGTAACTTTTCAGTTACTAATTGACAAATTTTTTTCCTGGATTTGTAAGAAGCCTGCAGTGGTTGCTAGTAGTGTCCTACCTCTGTCTCCTCAATCATGACCACCATTTCAGTGCCACCAGCCCAACCTCCCAACTGCCAGTACCTAAATTATTTTGCAGAGGGTTTTCTGTGGCCACCAGGGCCTGATCTACCTGTATGCATGTGCTGTGTATTGACTCTCCCCATCTTTATGGGCACAGCTTTCAAATTTTAAATCGAAAGGAGCTGGTTGTCAAACAAGTTACCACAGTTTCCTCGCACCCTGGTGGGATAACTGCGATGTGTATTGTTCACTTGTTCCCCAAACTCCCCAGCAGGATAGTGCTACATAGTCCAAAGTATTAACTTGGTTGGTAATGAGTGCTTTAATTGGCTTCTTTCCATTCTGTCTCAATTCTCTACTTTCCTTATGGTGTTGCTTGATACCATCTCCCAAATAACCTACCTAAACTCAATTACTTGTCTCAGAGTCAACTTCTGCGGGAATTCAAACTAAGCTCTTAGAACAACTTCAGTAGCATTTTATCACCTCATTTGAGAAAGCTGATTCCCTTCTTCATATTCCTATATTGTAGCAATACAGTAAAGCTAATATGCTGAAGATATTGGGATATTACCTAATGGACAAAAAATTACCGACTCTATAATGAAGAAGTCTTCTCATGATTTTAAAAATTTCTCTCCATAAACTTCAGACTCAATGGTAATATATAGCTGTTTATTTGACATTGCTTCTTCACTCCTTTGGAAATTGTTAAAAATATAACATTTAAGGAAATAAAATATATCCTACGTAACATAATGAATTGCTACAAAGGATGTTGCTACATTATTATACTGGACCTTAAATTGGCTTGCAAAATCATAAATTACAAGGCTTTAGTTCACTTGTTAAAAACTGAAGACTACCACTGATTTCCTTGCATTTAGAAGTGAACTTATAGAAACTACTCACTTTCTCAATTTAAAGTAAAATTCAGAATGGGATGGGATTCTGTGTATTATATTTCCAAAACATAGTGTGATACAATTATGGGCCTTTTTGCAGGCTACAGTGAGGGCTCGAATTCAATTTCATAATCTTAAGAAACAATCTATAAAAAGGAAGGAAAAATTTTTAAAAGGTCATACCAAAACAGTAAGTCAAGATACAAGGTACACGTTTTCTAGCAGAATATGCCATAAAAAAGAGAAAAAGAAAAAAATGTTAATTTAAATCCACTTTTTATTCTTTCACAGATTTTAACAATTATACACAACTTTTAACATAAACATAGTGAAATCTCAAGGATAAGGAGGCAATATATATGGCCTCTTCTATTCGTTATTCAGGATGGAAGGAAATTTTCAAAGTACAATGTGTGAGATTTAACACTGGAAAAATACATAGGAAACTTGTTTAACTGGCTCCACTTAGGACCAGACACAGCACAATAAATATAGAACCGCATCATCTTTTTAAAAGATCATTGTAATTTTAACACATTCTTACTAAAGAAATACATACTATCAATGACCAATCTGAAATTCTGTAACAGGTGAAGAGAGACTTACGATGAATATCTGAGCATAGGTTCGCTAGCATCTTCACACTCATACATAAACATTCTTAAAGGGAATAAGAATGATTTCAAATTCAAAACAACAACAAAAAAACAAATTTGGTCAAACTTTCTTCATCATACCATTCATTGCTATCACAATCCTAGCTTGCTGGTAGGTTTAAGAAAGGAATAGAAAGTTTTGGAAATCCTTTTAATTTCTACTAGTCTTAGGGCCTCTTGGGTAGGCCACTTTGGAAGCAAACTGATTAAACAGCACCATTAAGTCCACATCTCAACAAACCATTGCATAATTTCTGTCAATGTTCTCAAAGGTTAAAACAAGTTGTATGGAAGAAAACCTTTCCTCAATAGCAGGCCACTGTAAAAACATGTAATCTGCAAGAATTTAAACAAAACTATCCTGAATTCTCTACTGATTGCTTCTTTCCTTAATAGATCAACATATAGGCATTACCTAAAAAATTAAATAATAATATACTGAGGCATAAAATAAATACTTTATTTATGCTATCACAATTTGGGTATTTGAGATTGTTAGCCATGTTCACACACCCTTTCCTCTACCCAAAGAGGAAGCAATGGTGCCAGCACTACTGGTCAGAAAGAGTTAATGGGAAACTGTTGCTCTCAGAGCTGTTCTGCAATATGCAGACACATAAATTATTATTTTAAACATATACTTAAAAGACGGATAAAATGATCTTTTTTTTTTCATGTGATGCAGATTCTGTTATCAGTAGATACAAAATCAATTTCATTCCTATTAGGATGGAAACTGGTATGCTGCTGTGGCCATAGATATTCTGAGAAACCTCTTAAGCCAGTGAACCAAAAACCGTATGAAAGAAAGTAATATTTTCTGTGATTGGTTAACTGGCTGTTCAAAAATTCAATAAGCAAACAAACATGCAAACATGTGACATGTCATTATTTTGTAAAAACATAATGCCACTCTGGCCCCAGGAATCACTATAGCCCAGCTGGTCCTTAAAGGTGCAAACAGCCTTTAATTGCTACTAAAATCTCTGCTATTTTACTGCCCATCACACTTGCCACATGATTCTCAGAAGCTTAGGCTTCCAAGATTTTTAAGGAAAATGAAGAAGGTGTGATGTGGATCAAGTTTTCAGTGATTGTTTTAAATGTAATTTTAAAAAGAACTTCTAGTAATGAAGTATATAATAGTCCTTGATACTAAATTTTTTCTAGTGAAATAAGCTATGCTTTAATAAGACAATGTTGCTCTAAGTTTGACCGCCTGATTCTTTTCTTCTCTTTTTTAGAGGGTACTGTTTCATACTAACATTCCTTTGGTTCTAGTGTGTGAAGGGCCTCCCTCTTCGCCTATCTGAAGTGGTGCAATGTAGTACAATATATATATGGTTAACACTCTGTAAACCTTGATGTAGGGTGAATGACCTCTTTTCCTAGGTGTGCTTATCTCTATTAATTGTAAACAGGACTCTGCATGTTCACTCTCATTTGCAGTGAATTTGCGAGTGAAGGCAGGTTTCCTATCTTCTTGAACAGGTACTTGGTAATGACTTCAATTATCTAATTGTGGTCAAGCTTTGGGCAGCGTTAGCATTTTGCAGGAGGAATTGTTTGCAGGAAATATTTAATTTTTCAAAATAATGAATTAATGTCCACAATTATCTCGCTTATCCCCTATAATCCGGAATATTTGTGAGACATTGGACTAATGCTTTTTATTTTTATTTTTTTTTTTTATTTTTTTGAGACTCGGATTTACTCTTGTTTGCCCAGGCTGGGGTGGCCATGGCACGAATCATTGGCTCACTGCAACACCATTCAGCCTCCCGGTTCAAGCGATTCTACTTCCTCAGTCCCCCCGATGTAGCTGGGATTATACGGCATGGCTTCACCATGCACTCGCCTATATTTGTTTTTTTACGTCGACGGGTTTCACCATATGTCAGGTAGGTCTCGATCCAACCTTCAGGTGATCCACACCAACTTATGGCCTCTATCCAAGTGCTGGGTTACAGCATAACCACAGCGCCGGGGACTACCAACTTTTTAAACATGACTTTGTGGGTCACACAACTATATAT